CTAAGATGGCGTGATCCTCCAGGAAGCACTTCAACTGGGACTCGACTCTTTTCTCCAGTACTTTAGAAACAAATGGGAGTTTGGAGACAGGCCGGTAGTTTGACACGACTGAGGGGTCAAGGTTTGGTTTTTTCAGGAGAGGCTGGACGGCAGCATGTTTAAAGGTTTTTGACACCACACCAGTGGATAAACTACTGTTTACTATATCAAGAATGGACGGACCTAGAGTTGGAAACACCTCCTTTAGTAGTCGAGGGGGGACCACATCAAAGGGGGAACCAGAAGGTTTCAAGCTGCACATGACCTGCTCTAGAGAAGACAGAGTGATGGGTTCAAAATGGTCAAAAGGAGCTACAGATTGAGGTGGGATGGATGGGTCATGAGTTGGAGGGGAAATGAGAGCCCTGGTGGTCGCAATTTGTTCCACAAAGAAATGTAAGAAGTTGTCGCACAGCTCAGTCGAGGCTTCCAGAGGTGATGGTTCAGTGAGGTGGAGAACAGAGTTTAGGGTGGAGAAGAGGACACGTGGGTTGTGAGAGTTTGAGGTAATTATATCAGAGAAGAATTTTGATTTAGCAGATAGATAGTGTAGTCCTAAAGCCCAGACCTGAAGAGAGGACTTGGTCCTGGGAGTGCTTTAACGTTTTCTGCTTCTTGTTGTCGCAGGAGCACAGCCTGGCAGCGAAGAGGGAGAGCTTGTTGAAGTCGCTCAGAGGTCTGCTGAAGACGAAGGAGACGACGACAAGCACTCAGTAAGACAAACACTCACCTCGTCAGTCTCCGCCTTTCACTGGAGCTTAACCTGCTGCTTTTATGTCTTCACCAGGAGGACGAGAGACAGAGCCGAGAAGAAGAAACGCAGGGGGGACAAAGAGGCCGGCAGCCAGAAGACGGCAGGAGAGAAGACAAGAGACCAAAAGAAAACTGAGAGGATGGACGGTGAAAAAATGTCCACCAGGAAGTCGACAACAGACAGGAAGTGGGACAAACAAAAGACTTTACAAAAAGACACAAAAACCAGAAAAGTAGAAGGTAGCCTGAAGGACAAAGAGGAGGGTCGATTGTCCAACCAAAGGACGTCTTCAGAGAGACGAAAAGGAGACGACCAGAAGAACGACGACAGACACAAAGACGAGGTGTCCATGTCAGAGATGCAACGTGTTGAACGGAGGACGGAGATAAAACAAACCAGTAAATTGTTGGAGACAACGAAAGGAAGCAGGAAAGACCGGGAGGAACAGCAGAAGACAGGAGGAAAGAAAACAGAGGAGGTGAAAAAGAACGAAGAGTGGACAGAGACGAGGACGAGTAAAACGGCAGGAAAAACCAAAGACACTGATGGGGACGAGGACAGAAGAACAACCCGAGGGTCGGCAGCAGAGAAGGAAGGAGAGAGGATGGAGCAGGACAAGAAAACAAAGGAAGAAAGGAAAGCAAAGACGGAGGACAAGACGAGAAACGACGGAGCAAAAGAGAAGAAAGAAGACGATGACAAGGCTGTCGGAACAAGAGAGCAGAAAGACGAGAGGAAAATCATTGGAAAGATCGTGAAAGCTGGTCAGGGAACGAAGATCCACATCAAGACGATGATGGGAGGAACGAAGACGACAGAGGAGAAGAAAGACGGGAATTTAACCAAGAAAGAAGAGGAGGCGAAAAGGAGGGGAAGCTCTGAGGACGTCAAGGCAAAGCAACGCTTGGAGGACAAGAAAGACCAGATGAAAAAAGACGAGCGAAAGAGTAGAGCAGGTGAGACGAGAAGAAGAGAGGGGGAGCAGAAACCTGAAGAGAGGAAGGTGGAGAAAACTCCTCGGAGGAAACGTGACGAGGAGTCGCAGCAGACGAAAGACGACAAAACGACGTCTGGGCGAACGGAGGAGAACAAAGTTCAGAGGAAGACGAGCAGCGAAGAGACGCCGGCTGAGTCCACGAGCAGAGAGGGACAGGAGAGCGCAGAAAAGGACAGAAGACCAGGAGAGCAGCAGAAGAAGAGCTCATCCGCCTTGCTGACGGACTCGGCTCTGCACCGGATCCACGGAGACATCAGGATCTCTCTGAAGACCGGAAAGCCCGTGAGTCTCAGACACGTCCCACACAGGTGTCCCATAAACCCAGAGTCTGAGAACGTCTCGTTCCTGAGACGCTCCTTCAGTCCGCTCTGGAGGTCCAGACAAGGTTCTAAACACAGTTCAGTTTATTCTGTAGCTCCAACAGACGTCGCCTCAGGGCGCTGAACAGAAACATTCACTTTATCAATATGATCGGTAAAGTTCTCTAATGTGAGGACAGGTCCAGGTATGGTTTCTATAGTCCAGGTATGGTTTCTATAGTCCAGGTATGGTTTCTATAGTCCAGGTGGGGTTTCTATATAAGGAAAGACAAAAACATGTTAAGATAGAAATAATTACAAACAGGTAGAGTAAAGACAGCAGAGAGAACAGTGTGGTCAGTTTGTCCTCCAGCAGTCTAAGCCTATAGCAGCAGAACTAAGGGACAGCTCAGGAAACCCAAGCCGACCCTAACTATAGGATTTATCAAAAAGGAAAGTCTTAATCCTAGTCTTAAAACTGGACAATGTGTCAGTGTCACAGACAGAAACTGGAAGTTGGTTCAACAAGAGAGGAGCCTGAGAACTTGTCTACTGCTTCTTTAGATAGAAAACTTTACTAATTGTCTTTTATGTGAATGTTCCTGTAAAGTGCCCTGAGACAACTTTGTTGTGATTTGGCTCTTTATTAATAAACTGAATTGAATTAAATTGAGAACTGAAAGATCTTCCTCCCATTCTGTTTTTGTAAACTCCAGGAACCACAAATAAACCTGCAGTCTGAGAGTAAAGTGCTCTGTTAGGAAAATATGGAACAATAAAATCTGTAATATAAGATGGAGCTAGGTTGTTGAGAGCTTTGTAGGTTAGTAGGATTTTGTAAGACTGATACACCATGATGGTTCCTTCAAGCGAAAACCTCTGAGTAGAACAAACAAAGGGATGGTCCTCAAAACAAGTATTTTCACACGATGAGAACCTCCCTGTGGTCCCTCAGATGCTTTGAACACCTCAGAAGAGAGAGACGTGTGAGCTTGTAAACAAAACAACACTTTGTTGCTGCTGTTTGTCTCCTTATTTTTGTTTTCATCAGATTTGTGTAGCATATCGCTCTTCACCGTTGCACTCTGATGTTGTATGCATCTCGATCAGTCAGCAGACAGAGTATCTGCTGGATACGACTATCAGCTACTACCACGCTGAATTAGTGTGTCTGGCTGGTCTGGGACTGCTGGTGAATGGCATTCATGATGGAGCATTGAAGCTCCTGTGGGGTCTCAGTTTCCCCTAAATCTAGCCGTGAGCCTCTGGAACGTTTCTGTTTAGTCGCTGTGATTCTGAAGAGCCGGCGCTGTCTCTGACCCTTCTGGACTGGAAAGAGCCGAGGCTGCAGCTCTGAGTGTTCGGGTCTGAACTCCAGAGAAGAGCTTTACAAACCGAGCGCACAAAACCAGACTTGACTCTTTGAGAAGTGCAAACTGTTTTTAAACCCAGCTGCAGTGCAGAAACTTTGTGACGAGTTTAGTGTGTTTATAGCAGCTGTAACCAGCTTGGAACCAATTAGTAGAGTGCTGTATGAATGTGTGTGTTGTAGTATGGGCGCAAATTCACGTCATAAAGATTTTGCACGTGTAAAAAAAAAAAAATCACAAGTTACAAAACTTTAAAAAAATATTCTGTTTACAGATAAGCAGCACGGTGGTGCAGCTGGTAAAGCTGCTGCCTCTCATTGAGCAGGTCCCTGGTTCAAATCCAGATCCAGGGGTCTTTCTGGGTGGAGTTTGCATGTTCTCTCCGTGCTGCGTGGGTTTTCTCAGGATACTCCGGTTTCCTCCCACAGACCAAAAACATGCATGTTAGGCTGATGTTAACTCTAAATTGTCCCTAGGTGAGAGAGAGAATGGTTGTTTGTCTCTATGTGTCTCTGTGATGGACTGAAGACCTGTCCAGGGTGTCCCCTGCCTCTCGCACAGTGATGGCTGGACATGGGCACCAGTGACCCCCGTGACCCAAAAAGGAAGAAGCGGGTAAAGATGATGGGTGGATAAGAGCTGGGCGATATCTTGATATTTAAAAAAATATTGATTTAATTTTTTTTGCGATAAAAGTTGAGACTATCTCGATATAAAACGATGTACACTTGTAAATCCTCCTGTGGTCTTCTTTCTCCCACTCGCCCCCTCCTTGAACACAAACACACAGCCCTCAGCCGCGCTCCTCCCCCTCCCCTCCCTGCTTCTCCAGGAGGTGTGCGGGCAGGAGGAGACAGGCAGCTGAGCGTGTGTGAAGCTACAGCTCCGACGGACCTGACTCCTTCCCTGAAACAAACCACGGTTCAGAACTCATTCAGTCGTGCTGAGCCTTTTAGAGGAACACACAGAGGACATTAATAAATCAGCAGCTTATCATATCGCTAAAGATACAGTCCTTAGTAGCTAACAAGACGGCTAACGCTTTAGCGGTCTTGTTCCACAGCTGACAGGACCGTGTCTTAGCTACCGGTATATGATAAAGCTGCTGATTTATTAATGTCGCGCTACCTCTGTGTGTTCCTCTAAAAGGCTCAGCACGGCTGAATGAGTTCTGAACCGTGGTTTGTTTCAGGGAAGGAGTCGGGTCTGTCGGAGCTGCAGCTTCAAGGTTCCAAGTGGAGGATCAGTACGGCAGTTCACACACGCTGACTAACATGAAGGCGGTGCAGCTGAATGCACTGTACTTATAAAGCACTTTTCTATCTGATCAAGACTAGGGCTGGGTACCTTTCTACAAAAATCGGTATTGGTATCTTCACTTCGGTGTAGGATCCTGCACGGTTCCTTTTTTTGGTACCGATTTCGTAATTACTATTAATGAATGGGGTAGTGGTGGCGCAGAGGTTAGAAGATGGGCTTGCGATCAGAAAGTCGTAGGTTCACCTCCCGGTACCGTCAACATCAAAAAATGTGGGTGGAAAAGGTGAAACGCCCACACCTCCCTCCACCCTCATTCGCCCCACTCTGGGCCCCTGAGCAAGGTCCTTAACCCCCACCATGTGCTCCCTAAACAGGTCTCTCTTGAAAATGAGTTCTCGTGGCTCAATGAGACTACCTGGTAAAAAAAAAAAAATTCTAACAAAAAGAAAATTACGTTACACATTACAATACAAATCGTGAGTTTTATTTTTTAACTTTGGTAGTTTTCTATTCCAAGCAGTTTTCTTACATAAAAATAAACAAATAATTTCCAGTTCAAAGACCAGTTTCAAACCAGTGACACGTCAGTGTCTAGTGTTCACTGCTTCACACTGAGAAACTTTTTTCACTGAACAGTTTTTCTTTAGAAACATCAACATGTCTGTTTTCTCTGGACACAAACAAGCTGCTCCTGGCTGACGGTGTCTCCAGCAGTAGAACATGTTCACTCTGAGGCTGTAGATGATGATTGTTGCACACACAGATACCTGGTTGTCAGTTTGACATGTTGTCCCTCACATCCCACCAGCAGGTCACTGGATTCACTCAGGTAGGGTTGATGCAGACTTCTGCTCCTCTGTGTCTCTGCCTGAATCTTCTCTGTGGTTCTCTGGGGTTTAGGGTTCTGATCATCTCCCTAAATGACATGAGAACACAAAACATCAACAATAACATGGTTGTGTTATTATTGATCAAAAAACATTATCTAGGCTGAGAAATAAAAGCTTAACTGGTCAACAACATCCTTTAAAGTTTACTTACCTCCACCATGCAGCTCCATTGTAGTTTAAAGCAGCAAACTTTTAACACAAAGTCTGTGACTGTTCTGTGGCCCCAATCTCACTTTTCTGTCTGTCCTCACATCTGGGTCAGAACCTCCTGTGAGGAGAAGATAAACAGTGAACATCAGGTGAACTATTTAAGCAGCTGACTGGATGGATGAGCAGTTTTACAGGCTAAGATTTATGTTACTGTCAATCTTTAGTTAGCTTCTGAGTTTAGCTAGCTACAGATAAAATAAATTTACACACTAATATCTTAAAGTTAGCGTTATTTCACCACGATGTACGTGTGATTTGGGATATGTATTTAAATAACACCAGGATTCGGAAGAGTAATCAGCGCAATGGACAAAAAAGAAAATACTCGGATACTGTCCTGCTAAAATAATAGTGTCTTTATTATTTCGCCACAGATTACAGCATAACAAGCAAAGCAAGGCACAATCACAAATGTAGGAGAAAACTCTCACCGTGACACATAGACTGGAGAGCCAGACAGCCTAGGCAGAGCATACACCAACACAGCTGGACGTCCCGATCGGAAGACTCACAGCAGACTAACTCTCTTCTGAGCGCTCTCTATTTAATACTTTCCACCCTCTGCATCACGTGAGAACATCTCCCAGTGAACAAAACACGCCCACCTGGACTAAAAACTGTGAGAAACCTCGAGATAGCGTGCGGGGGGTGGCGGGCCAAGCCTCCTCCTCAGGCCTGTCGAGTGACTCACAATAACATGCACCAAAAACACTATATCACAGGTTAAATAGTCAGAAAAACAACATTTTATTAAATTCTTTATTCATCGTGTTAACAAACTTAACAAAGTCCGTGCTCAATAATCCAGGTATAAAATCCAACATGTTTCAGTCCGGTCACTCAGGTTAACAGACGTACACTCACCAGCTGTAACAGACACAGAGCCGTCCTCGGAGTTCTTCGATGAAGACGAGTCCGGCTGTGGAATGTTGATTCAGTCCGTTTCACACACACACACTGACAACGCTGAGAGGAGGAGGAGGCTGCTGTCAGTCTCTCTTCTTGCAGAGAAACACGGAGCAACTTTCTGCGCGTGTGTTGTCGGAGCCGTTCGACAACACACGCGCTGCACACGTGAACCCCGTCTGTGGGCGGTCTCACCAGCACATAGACATACATTGTACATAGAATAGGTGCGGCCGCTCTGTACAGCTCTGGGTGTAAACACATAGTCTGTTTCGTCATGTCTGGTGTTTTACCTGCCTGCGTGCTGAAACCACGTGACACATTACAGCCAATACCGAAACTTGACACCAAAAAAAGAGTGATGTTTCAATACATACACCGACCGGTGCAGTTCGGTCTGTGCCATAAAAGAACCTCGGTTCGGTACTCAGCCCTATATATATCACTTCCTGGTCTGCTGCCTTCATACATCTCCTCCTACATGTCTCTGTGTGAGTGCAGCTACAGCGTGCGCTCTCAGGACATCATTACCTGCAGTGTTCCCTCAGTGAGGACTGAACTAGACAAAAGGACCTTCTCCTGCTCCGCTCCTGTTTCCTGGAATATCTTGTAAAAAGATCTGAAGCTCTCGACCTTTGACCTCTCTAAGTGGCTTCAAGAATCTGTTGGACTCCTGGCAGGGTCCAATGCAGACATGTTCCTGTTTTTAGTTTTCTACATTTGCCTTAGAATCTAGCTGTTTTTTTGTTACCTTTTTCTTTTAGCCATCCTATTTGTTATATAAAAAAAAAAAACCTGTAGTATGACTTTTTATAACTGTTTATTGTTGTTGCTGTTGTCCATTGTTGTCATCTTTCTTTGTTAAATCAGGTCTCTCTTGTAAATGAGTCCTCGAGGCTCAATGGGATTTACCTGTAGAAATAAAGGTTGAATTAATTATTTAATATATGTAAATAGATGTCTAAAAAACAAACTTTAATATATGTAAATAGTTTGTTTTTTTTACATTTATTTTGTACAGTTACAGCTGTTGTTAATAAATATGGCTGTGTGACAACTGGGACAAAACTTTAACTCAGAAATATATTTTTGTTATTAATTTATGGAAAGAAAAAATATCGATATATATATCGTATATCGCGATTTATCTTAAAATATCAAGATACAAGTTTTGGCCCATATCGCCCAGCTCTAGTACGGATGGATGCTAACGGATAAGAATCTAAAACTTAAGTGTGAATCTCTTCCTGTCAGTTTCATTTTACGAGTACAAATTTTGGCCTGAATTTTCCTGTTGTCAGCAGATTGGTCATCGTCATGTCAATCACATATTTAACGAACCAGTCAGAGAACAGATGGGGTTGGCTGTAGACACCTCGTTGAGCAGGCTGGCCCGCTGCAGCGGTACATCAGAGCGTCCGCCATATTGCATGTGGCAGCTCTGCCGGTCATTTAATACAAAGAAATGAACAGAAGTTCATAAAGCACCGTTCTACCATAAGTTTTGAGTTGATGTCTGTCATTCACACTCACTAATATATCAGGAAAACAAGCGGGCAGACATCTGTAATGTTTAACGTTAAACGTTACAAATGTTGTCTTTGGTGCCTGCTTGGTTTCTTTACGTGTCTGAGGACGTGTCTCCCTGATGGACGTGTCTTCTGCTTGTCGTTCAGGACGTCAGGAAGTGTTTGGCAGCGTTGGACCAGCTCAGCAGGCTTTACGTGACGTCGCAGCACGTCCAGAGACACAGTGAACTCATCGCCACACTCAGACAGGTGAACAGCTCTTTATGACAGTCACTAATGTTTCTCCATGAACATGGTCGAGCCCGACCCGATACACATTCAGAAACAGTTTGTTCCCTGCAGCTGTCACACGGATGAACTCCAGCTGCACTTACTTCATCTTACTTTTTTTACTTTATATATATATGTGTGTGT